TTTTTTGGGCAAGCTTCCGCTTCTTACTGTGTTCGAATGGACCCAGTGAGGCGAGGACCACATCCGCTTCGCCCTTAACCCATCAGCGACAGCCTTAAAGGGCGAAGCCTATATGACATAGAACGTTGGTTACGTACTGTAACCCCAGATTCTATGAATATAGGCGTAGCCCTTTAAGCGTCGGGCCTCACTGGCTCCTGAATAGCTGAAGAAAAGAATAAGCTATTTGGGAGCAGATTACCCGCTCTTACGTAATTTATACGGATCGGGTGGGGCCCACACAGCAGGTGGGCGTGGACTAATTTTTTTCAGTACGATGCTTGCGCATAACGGGATAAACCCATCAGCGACAGCCTTAAAGGGCTACGCCTATATTCATAGAATCTGGGGTTACAGTACGTAACCAACGTTTTCCCCAGTACATGAAAGGGTAACTTCCCTGTGCCTTAGGGTGGGGGGATGGGCTCTGACAGTTGCTTGTGCCTATGCGTCGAATGGCATTTCAAAGTATCCGGACTTCTTGGAGTCTTTGGCGGGGGTGCTGGAAGGTGCGCCAGCTGGGGACTCCTTTATTCTGCTGGGGGACTTCAATGCCCACATAGGTCATGACAGTGTGACCTGGAGGGGCATGATTGAGAGGAACGGCCTTACTGATCTGAACATGAGCCGTGATCTGAACTTCTGTGCTAGTCAGTTTGTCCATCACAAACACCATGGTCGAACATAAGGGTGTCCATAAGTGCACTTTGCACTAGGAAGCCCTAGATCGTAAATCTATGATTTACTTCATAGTCATGTCATCTGATTTGTGGCCGTTTGTTTTGGACACTCGGATGAAGAGAGGAGCTGAGCTGTCAACTGATCACCACCTGGTAGTGAGCTGGATGAGATGGCGGAGGAAGATGCCGGACAGACCTGGTAGACCCAAACATGTAGTGAGGGTTTGCTGAGAATGCCTGGCAGAAGAAGCCGTCAGAGAGATCTGGGGAGTGGTGGCGCAGAGGTTAGAGAGGTGGGCCTGTGATCGGAAGATCGCCGGTTCAAGCCTCGGTACCGAAAACATCAAAAAATGTGGGTGGGGTAGGTGAAGCACCCACATTTGCCCCCACCCTCATTCGCCCCACTCTGGGCCCATGAGCAAGGCCCTTAACTCCCACCATCTGCTCCCTAAACAGGTCTCTCTTGAAAATGAGTTCTCGTGACTCAATGAGACTACCTGGATAAATAAAGGGTAAATGAAAAACTAGCACCTCCGGGAGAGCTTTAACTGAATCCCAGCTAACGTGGGGGACATTGAGTCTAGGGCTGGGCACCTTTCTAAAAACAAAACAAAACAAAAAAAAACGTATCGGTGTTGGTTCCTTCCCTTTGGTGTCGGTTCCTGGACGGTTCTTTTTTCTGTGCCAATTTTATGATTAACATCAATTCTAACAAAAATAAAATGACGTTACACATTACAGTACAAATCTCGAGTTTTATTTTTTAACTTTGGTATTTCTATTCCAAGCAGTTTTCTTACATAAAAAGAAACAAATAATTTCCAGTTCAAAAGACCAGTTTCAAACCAGTGACACGTCAGTGTCTAATGCTCACTGCTACACACTGAGGACCTTTTCACTGAACAGTTTTTCTTCAGAAACATCAACATGTCTGTACATGTCTGTTTTCTCTGGACACAAACCAGCTGCTCCTGGCTGATGGTGTCTCCAGCAGTAGAACATGTTCACTCTGAGGCTGTAGATGATGATTGTTGCACACACAGATACCTGGTTGTCAGTTTGACAGCACTGACATATTGTCCCTCACATTCCACCAGCAGGTCACTGGATTCACTGAGGTTAGGGTTGATGCAGACTTCTGCACCTCTGTGTCTCTGCCTGAATCTTCTCTGTGGTTCTCTGTGGTTTATGGCACTGATCATCTCCCGTCAGAGGCTCCTGTGAGGAGAACATGAACAAACAGTGACAATTAGGTGAACTGTTTAACCAGCTGACCGATGGATGAGCACATTTTTACAAGCTAAGCTTTATCTGTTACTGTCAATCTTTAGTTAGCTTCTGATTTTAGCTAGCTACATAGATAGCCATAAAATAAAGCTACACACTAATATCTTAAAGTTAGCATTACACAGATCCTAGTTTAACTCACCACGATGCACGCATTAAGCTGCAGTAACGTTAACAAACGTAAACTTACCAGCTGAAACATAGACACAGCTCCGTTATCAGATGAAGCAGAGTCTGGTCGTGCAGATGTTGAATCAGGCCGTTCAGGCTCTAACACTCACAGGCCGACTTTAACACTGAGAGGAGGAGGCTGTGCTCCTCTCTCCTTGCAGACAAACACGGAGCAACTATCCACTTGTAAACTGAAGCCGTTCGATGACACACGAGCTGCACACGTGAACCCCGTCAGTGGGCGCAACCAGCGCCATAGACATAATAATAATAATAATAATCGTTTTATTTAAAAAGCGCCTTTCAGGACACCCAAGGACACTTTACATTAAGAACAAAGATCAACAGGAATAAATTACATAAAGAATATAAAATACAGTGGGGAGAACAAGTATTTGATACACTGTTGATTTTTCAGGTTTTCCCACTTGCAAAGCTTGTAGATGACTGTAATTTTTATCATAGGTACTCTTCAATTGTGAGTGATGGAATCTAAAACAAAAATCCAGAAAAATACAATGTATGATTTTTAAATAATTAATTTCCATTTTATTGTGTGAAATAAGTATTTGATCATCTATCAACCAGTAAGAATTTTGGCTCTCACAGACATGTTAGTTCTTCTTTAAGAAGCCCTCCTGTTCTCCACCCATTACCTGTATTAACTGCACCTGTTTGGACTCGTGACCTGTATAAAAGACACCTGTCCACACACTCAATCAATCAGACTCCAGCATCTCCACAATGCCCAAGACCAGAGAGCTGTGTAAGGACATCAGGGATAAAATTGTAGACCTGCACAAGGCTGGGATGGGCTACAGGACAATAGGCAAGCAGCTTGGTGAGAAGGCAACAACAGTTGGTGCAATTATTAGAAAATGGATGAAATTCAAAATAACGGAAAATCTCCCTCGGTCTGGGGCGCCATGCAAGATCTCACCTCGTGGAGCATCATTGATCTTGAGGAAGGAGAGGAATGAGCCCAGAACTACACGGCAGGACCTGGTCAATGACCTGAATAGAGCTGGGACCACAGTCTCAAAGAAAACAATCAGTAACACTCTACGCCGTCAAGGATTAAAATCCTGCAGTGCACGCAAGGTGCCCTTCCTCAAGCCAACGCATGTCAAAGCCCGTCTGAAGTTTGCAAATGACCATCTGAATGATCCAGAGGAGGAATGGGAGGTGGTCATGTGGTCTGATGAGACAAAAATAGAACTTTTTGGTTTAAACTCCACTCGTCATGTTTGGAGGAAGAAGAATGATGAGTACAACCCCAAGAACACCATCCCAACCGTGAAGCATGGCGGTGGAAACATCATTCTTTGGGGATGCTTTTCTGCAAAGGGGACAGGACGACTGCACCATATTGTGGGAAGGATGGATGAGGCCATGTATCATGAGATTTTGGCCAACAACCTCCTTCCCTCAGTAAGAGCACTGAAGATGGGTCTTCCAGCATGATAACGACCCAAAAC